AGGACCGAAGATTGGGTTGGATACAGTCCGGTCTTGATCCGGTCCGGTCCCAATTCGGTCTTGATTTTACATTGAGATTGTGGGATTTGAGTGGCCTAAGGCCTTAAAGGGTGAGGAGTTGGTTAAGTTTTGTACTAAGTGCAAAGGTTTGTGACCGTTTATGCAAATTACCCTTAAGTTTTGGGTGTTGAGCTCTCTTATCCAGTCTTTATCCGGTTTTTTACCTCAAATCTAAGCCCAAAGATTGGATTGGATTGTTTACTATCCGGTCCGGTCTCGGTCCGGGTTATACGGTCCGGTTTCCGGTTTTTAATCCGGTCCCGGTCCAAATAGCCACCCCTACCGCGACCTGGGTATAAAAGGAGGGTTGAGCTGAAGGGAAAAGGGAGAGAGAACTAGTGTGAGAAACTTCTTCTTCAGCTTTCTAGAGAGAGAAATTGACAAACCAAAAAAGAGAATAGGTTAGGGTTTCAACTCCAAGAAAGGTTTTGGGAATTTCTTCCCCAATGGTGGTTCTCTACACCACAAGGAGAGGTTAGCATCTCCAAGATGGTTTTCTTTCTTCTCCCTTGTGTTTCCTCCTTGCCTAGCATGGAGTAGTTTCCCTTTTCACTTGGGTGTGTGTAAACCCTAGCTACAACAATGTGAATGTTTGAATGGATTGACTGATTAGTGTGTGAGTGTGTTTTAATACATAGTTATGAGGTATTTTCATGAAGATTGATTGTGTTTGTGCATTTCAATGTCTTATCCTTTTCTAACCTAGGTAGAGGGAAATCCCCTTTGATTAGAGGCTTGTAAAAGTTGGATTCCCTTGGGCAATCTTTGTCTCCTACTTAGGTTAAATTAGGGGAAAACTCTTAATTCGTATTAGCACCTAGGGTTGGTTGTAATTTGGCCATCCGAACTTCGATTTGAGGATGAATTCTAGGCAACCCTTGGTTGATAGGTCAAGAGAGCAACTATGATAGCTTGAATCGGATTCCCTTGACCTATTGACCGAGAGAGTGGCGTTCGTTCACTAGTTGCACTTCCCAACGGTTTACAACCACCTATCCAACACCTATGAATTCGATCCGACAAGTTATTATTGTTAGCTAGGGGGAGCAAGACCCGGGTGAAGCTGATTCGGGCCTAAAAGGTTGGTTTTACGCTAGGTTTCTCGTGTTTTAGTGTGTCTCGGGATTAAACAGGTGAAACCAGCCGCGGAGTCGAAAGTTGGACAAAAAGGATCGAAAACCGGGAGAAGAGGTGGAAAATGGCCAATTCGCAGCTATCCCAAGATGTTCACGGTCTTGCACGACCTTGAAGAAGAGAGCTTGACCGTGAACCTCGACGCGTCCAGAGCCAAAACAGAAATTACTGACGCAAGGTGAGTTAACGCTCACTAAGATCCTGAACTGAGGCTGTCGACTGTGAACGGATGTCAACGAAGCGGTAACTTTTGGCACACGCCTGCAGTTCACGGACACGTTTCATGGTTCACGGCCGTTAACTGATCTCGTCTCTGGTTTAAAGATGAACTGAAAGGAGGAGAGAGGGAAGAGCCCATTTGTGTGAAAAGCCTTCTTCAGATTTCTAGAGAGAGAAATACTAACCAAAAGGAGAAGAAGGCTAGGGTTTTGCTTCAAGATGGATTTTGGGAAGATTTCCTCCAAGGAAAGTTCAACACAAGGGCCAAGAAGATTGGGAGCATCCTCCAAGATGGTTTCCACCTCTTCTCCTTGTGTTTTCCCCATTTCTAGCATGGAGTAGATTTCCTTTCACTTGGTTGTTGTGAAACCCTAACTCTACCATGTAGTTTATTTGATGTGATTTGAATGATTGTCAGTGGGTGTTGGTTAATCCAATGATTGAGGTATTATTCATGATTGATTGTGCATGCTTGTGCTTAGCAACCTAAGGGTTGTGCATGTTTTGTGCTTAGCATCCTTAGGTTTGTGCATTTTGGTGCTTAGCAACCTAAGGATTGTGCATAATTGTGCTTAGCATCCTTAGGTTTGTGCATGTTGGTGCTAGCAATCTAATTAGCCACCTTAACCTAGCTTACAGAGGAAAATTCCCCTTCCAAGGGAGACTCAATCGAGTTGGTTTTCCTTGAGCTTTTTAAGCCACCTAACTAGGTTAATTTAGGGAAACCCTCAATGTTGAATTAAGCAAATTGGTTAATCGCGATTAAGTCGTCTGACCCTTGAGTTGAGAGAGGGAGTAAGTCAACTACCTATTGATTAAACCGAGAGGGTCGAGTGACACGACCTATAATGTTTACCTCGGTTTAGAAACTGAGATTGTGGTCTCCGACCATATATGCATCCCTCTACGGTTTGCGGTTACCTTGCTCAAAGCATCGTTCCAATTCACATATCATGGTAGTAGTTAGGGGGAAGCGACACCCAAGTGATCCTTCCACAAAAGAGTTTTCAAAACCATTTACCTTTGCCTTATTTTATTGTAATTAGCAAACTTTTAAACCAAAACTTTGTTGCTAGATAATGATTAAAACAACTGAAGTAGAGGTAGACGGACCGGCCCGGGTTGATATTTAAACATACTTATCCTATACTGCACCCGACTAAGTTTTATACTTGGACCTTAGGCGGGAATTTATTGTGGTATTCGGGACGAGTCAAGTTTTGGCGTCGTTGCCGGGGAAGACGATCTGTTATCTTGATAAAGTTGTTTGTTGTTAATCTAGCTTTTAATTTCCAGTTTTGCAAGTGTGTGTGCTTTGCTTGTGCTAGACTTGGTGTGTTTTTCGATTGTGTGTATGTGGTGCAAGACCCGGAGCAACCTGGCACCTTTGCTACCACTTGACGAGGACATAAACCGAACTCTCTGGCTCCTAGCAAGGGAGAGAGAGCTAGCCGAGTCAAGGAGAAGGAGTGAAAGAGGGGGACAACAGTTGGGTCCCGGTGTTAGTGGAGAAGTAGTTGAAGATGTGGAAGTTGAGCCCGTCATTGAAGAGGAAATGGCAGGGAACCAAAGGCAAGATGGAGCCGCTTAAGCTTTGCAACTAAGGCTTTTCCCATACTCGCTCTCGTGGAAAGCACTTAGGTGGCTAAATAACCGCCCACCTCCGTCAATCACCTCATGGGATGACCTCCTCAACAAGTTTATGGCTTGTTATTGCCCGCCTTCGAAGACGGCAGAGTGGAGAAAGAAGATTACCCATTTCGAGCAAGAAGAGGATGAGACCTTGAGGGATGCTTGGGATGGTTGGTTTTGGTTGATAAGTGGCCTGGTTTAAAAGATGAGCTGAAAGGAGGAGAGATGGAAGAACCCATTTGTGTGAAAAGCCTTCTTCAGATTTCTAGAGAGAGAAATACGAACCAAAGGAGAAGAAGGCTAGGGTTTTGCTTCAAGGTGGATTTTGGGAAGATTTCCTCCAACGAAAGTTCAACACAAGGGCCAAGAAGATTGGGAGCATCCTCCAAGATGGTTTCCACCTCTTCTCCTTGTGTTTTTTTGTCCATTTCTAGCATGGAGTAGATTTTCTTTCACTTGGGTGTTGTGAAACCCTAACTCTACCACGTAGTTTCTTTTATGTGATTTGAATGATTGTCATTGGGTATTGGTTAATTCAATGATTGAGGTATTATTCATGATTGATTGTGCATGATTGTGCTTAGCAACCTAAGGGTTGTGCATGTTTTGTGCTTAGCATCCTTAGTTTTGTGCATTTTGGTGCTTAGCAACCTAAGGATTGTGCATAATTGTGCTTAGCAACCTTAGATTTGTGCATGTTGGTGCTAGAAATCTAGCAATCTAATCTAGCTTAGAGAGGAAAATCCCCCTTCTAAGGCAAACTCAATCGAGTTAGTTTTCCTTCAGCTTTTTAATCCACCTAACTAGGGGGAAGCGACACCCGAGTGATCCTTCCACAAAAGAGTTTTCAAAACCATTTACTTTTGCCTTATTTTATTGTAATTACCAAACTTTTAAACAAAAACTTTGTTGCTAGATAATGGTAAAAAAAAACTGAAGTAGGGGTAGACGGACCGGCCCGGGTTGATATTTAAACATACTTATCCTATACTACACCCGACTATGGTTTATACTTGGACCTTAGGCGGGAATTTATTGTGGTTTTCGGGACGAGTCAGAAGCCTTCTCAATTAGTGACCAAAAGATTTAGTTTTCCAAACGTTCTAGTTATAGATCGTTGTTTTCACTAAAAACCAATTGCTAGATAATGTTTCAAACAATCGAAGTTGTTAATGGATTTGTGTCGTGTGTGCATGGGCTTGTATCGTAATGGTTTAATATGGACATGGAATACTAACGTATCGGCTTGGTTACATGGGTTGTGGATGTTCCATGGGTCATGGTTGTATGGTGTATGAGAGCTAGTGTATGAGTGGGAAGTCTAATGCTAGTTGTACGTAACTGTATGAGTTCGAGTTGTAATGGGAGATGTACGCAACTATATGAGTTTGAGTAGGAATGGGAGGAAGACTCCTATTAAGCTTACGTTACTTGAGAGTAAGCTAGCTTGTGTATATATGTATGCGGATGGTGATCGAGGATGGTAAGAAAATACGATTGACTTGGAGAGTTTGGACTCTCCCGTGGACTAGTCCTGTATTCAGGGAAACCACGTTAAATTCGGTGTTTTGTTCTTTGCCTATTAGTTTGTTTACATGGTATCAGAGCTTCCGTGCTACTAATCGTTTTTGAAGCTTGCTCTATTCATTTCAGTTCCTTTCAGCTGTGTGCGTGCTCTTTGTTGTTCCCTGCTCATCACTATGGAGGCTGATGGCATTTCAGTTTGTCTCAACGCCAAAAACTTTGCCTTGTGGGAGTTCCAACTCGGTGTGTTCATTCAAGGCAAAGGGCTGCTCGCCATCCTTGATGGTTCGTCACCTCTTCTTACCATTCCGCCATCCACCGCTGCTGATCTCTCTACTTGGCATAAAAACAACGCCAAGGTGATGTCCTGGATTCTGAATTTGGTTGATCTGTCCATTATCCTTGGACTTCGGCTCCTGCCCGACGCGCACTCGATGTGGAAGCACCTCAACTCAACCTGCACCATGAACAACTCCGCTCGCTAGTTCGAACTTGAATTCGAGCTTGCTCGTCTCCAGCAAGGCGATAGGGATGTGGCCGCATACTTTAATGAGGCCCAACTGTTATGGACCGAACAAGATTTGCTCACTGCATCCCTTCGTTCCAAAGAAGCTTCGGCAGAGGTTAAGGCCGAGCGCGATCAGACCTGCATGCTCCAATTCCTAATGCGTCTTCATCCCAAGCTTGAATCTATCTGCTCGACCTTAATTAACAAAGATATCTTGAAGATGGATGGACTGCTAGGTCACTTGATTCGTGAGAAGACCCGTATTCGTACCCAAACTCAGCTTGACATGCGACCTGGTGAAGCCGAAACCGTCTTGGCCGTAACAGGTTCTCCCGCTGGAGATGGCAACACTCCTGATGCTGACTTTGCTGTTGGCCGGCCCCAGTTTCAGCGCCGACTTCCTACCTCCAAGATTATTTGTCACCATTGCCGTGAAAAGGGTCACCTTCTACGCAACTGTTGTCATCGCAACTTCTGCAACTATTGTAAGCGCCAAGGGCACATCATCTCGAACTGTACATTGATCAAGAATCGTCCGCCTCCTCCTGATCCTAGCTCCACGGGGGCCAGCTGCTCATGCTACACAGGCCGTTGACGATGCGGGTAATGCTCTCTCCTCTACCGCCATCGAAAAGATGGTAAATGAAGCTTTACAACGTTCGTTACCAACGGCTGTAAGCTCCGCCTTCGCTACCATGCAATTTAACGGTAACTCGAAACCTTGGCTTCTCGATTTAGCTTGTTTTAATCATATGACTAGCGAAAATTGGGTTGTTGAATAATATTGCGCCAATTCCTCAACTTAGTTTGCAAGTTGCTAATGGGCAACAATTACATGTTAATGGAGTGGGTACGACAACTACTACGAATCCTGTACTACCTAAGACTCTTCATGTTCCTCAATTAGTTCCGAATTTGGCTTATGTTGGGTAGCTTACTGAACAAGGTAATATTGTCATGCTTGCTCTGTTTGGATGTTTTATTCAAGATTTGAAGATGGGAAGCAGATCGGAAGAGGGAGTAAGCAAGGACGCGTGTTTGTGTTGGAGGAGTTTTTGGGCCAATCATCTTTGTCTACCACCAAGTCAATTTCGGTTGTGTCAAAGTCAGTTTCCTTGGTTCCTGTTTTTTCTAGTACAAATGAGTCTACTGATCTATGGCATTCTCACCTAGGGCATCTTCATTCTAATCAGCTTGTTCGTATGTTTCAACAAAAACTCCTTGGTTTGAATAAGATTGGTAATTCCTTCAAGTTGTCTTGTCCTAGTTGCGTTGAAGCTACAAGCACTCGTCACCCTTTTCCTTCAAGCCAAACTGTTTACATTGACCCTTTCCATCTTGTTCATACCAATTTATGGGGCCCAAGTCCAGTTACATCACGTTTTGGCTTTAGGTACTTTGCTCTTTTCATTGATCAAGCTACTCGTTTTGTCTGGGTATATTTCCTCCGCCTCAAATCTGACTTGTTCTCTGTAGCGAAAGAGTTCTTCAAAATGATCGAAACCCAGTTCGGTAAAACTATTCGAATTCTTCGTTCTGACAAAGGCGGAGAATTTAGTTCCACTCCACTACGTGAATTGTATAGGTCTTGTGGCATTTTATCCCAAAAATCCTGCCCTGGTGAGTCCTAACAAAATGGTTTAGTCGAGCGAAAGAATCGCCATGTAATGGAGATTACTCGTGCTCTCCTACTTGAATCTCATGTCCCCCCACGTTTTTGGCCCGAGGCAGTCGCCACTCTGTTTGCTTGATAAATTACCAAATCACACCCGTTTTGAACCATTCGAGTCCTTATTTTTCTCTCTACTCGCAACACCCAGACTAATCCCATCTCCGTGTCTTTGGTTGTACATGCTTTGTCCTTCTACCCCCTCGCGAGCGCACCAAGTTATCTTTCAAAACCTTTCGTTGTGTTTTCCTATGGTATAACACCGTCCATAAAGGGTATCTATGTTTTGACTCTATATCTAGCCATGTTGTGTTTTTTTGAACACCTCCCTTACTTCTCCCCGTCTTTAGAGTCAACTACCTTCCTTTCATTTATCAGCCAGTTCCCTTCACCTACCTTGGCCCTTCTCTGACACCTGTTGCTGATGATGATGACGATCCGCCTCCCCCCGACTCTGGTTCTTCTTTTGATGCTGCCAGTTCGCTTGAAGCTCTTGTGGTTCCCCATCGCTCCTTGCGATCCAACTTTGGCCAACCTCCCGTCCGGTTCCACTATTTTTATGCTCTTCATGTGAATGCTGCCATCACTGTCCCTATTCGCTATAGCCAGGCCTGCGGGGACCCCAATTGGGACAACGCCATAAAGACTGAAATTGTTGCATTGCTCGCCAACAACACATGGACTGTTGTTCCTCGTCCCCTCAATGTCCCAGTCATCTGCAGTAGGTGGGTTTACAGTCTCAAGTTCCATCCGGATGGGAGTGTTGAACTTCATAAGGCTCGAGTTGTTGCTCAGGGGTTCTGTCAAGAGTTCAGAATTGATTATGATGTGACTTTCGTCCCGGTTGTCAAAATGCAGACAGTTCGTACATTGATTGATGTGGCCGCCGTGAAGAAATGGTTGTTGCTTCAATTAGACGTAAATAACACATTTCTTCACGGGGATTTAAAGGAGGTGGTGTATATGGAACTTCCTCCTGTCTATTCAGAAGACACTCCAGATCATGTTTGCTTACTTCATTGCTCTTTATACGAGTTAAAACAGGCGACGCGGGCGTGGTTCGAAAAGTTTCAGAGCACTATCGCGGGTCTTGGGTTTGTTTAGAGTATGAATGATCCATCGTTGTTTGTCCAGAAGACCTCGGCTGGTATAGTTCTCCTTTTGTTATATGTTGACGATATGATCGTCACCGGTGATGATTCGGAAGGCCTACAACGTCTAACTGCTGGTTTGCGAGCTTCTTTCAGCCTTAAGGAACTAGGGCCTTCTCCTATTTCCTAGGCCTGGAGGTCAGTCGTTCCGACCATGGTATTTTGTTAAATCAGGAAAATTACATTGATGATCTACTTGTTACTCATCAATTTGACGCCGTTACTCCTGTTTCCACCCCAATGGAACTTAACGTCAAGCTCGGAAAGGATAGCGGCATGCCCTTGAAAGATGGTTCTCGCTATCGTTCTCTAGTCGGTAGTCTCATCTACCTCACCCACACTCGGCCCGACATCTCATACGCCGTCCACATCATTAGTCAATTCATGTTTGCCCCGACTGATGTCCATCTTCATGCGGCGCACCGCATTCTCCGATACTTACAAGGTACATGTACAATTGGCCTTTATTTTCCTTCCACTGGTACATTTGATCTTGCAGCTTACTCCGACTCCAACTATGCTGGGTGTATCAACACTCGAAGATCCACGACGAGTTGGGGTGTTCGTATGGCGGGCTATTTTGTCTCCTGTCGGTGTAAGAAGCAAGATAAGGTCTCCAAGTCTTCAATGGAAGCGGAATATAGAGCCATGTCCGACGTTAGTTCCGAACTCATTTGGTTACGACACCTGCTAGCTGATCTCGATGTCCATTGCTAAACTCCCCTCCCGCTGTATGTGGATAACACTAGCCAAACATATTGAAATTCATATTCATTAAGTGCGGGATCTCGTTCGTGAAGGTGTTATTGAGCTCCGACGCTGTATGTGGATAACACTAGCCAAACATATTGAAGTTCATATTCATTATGTGCGGGATCTCGTTCGTGAAGGTGTTATTGAGCCCCGACATTGTCCGACAGAAGAACATATTGTTGATCTTCTCACGAAGGCATTCTCCTCGACTCGTCATTGGTATCTCTCAAGCAAATTGATGATTCGTTACCATCATCAATTTGGGGGAGGATGTTAGTGATCATGGATTTGTGTCGTGTGTGCATGGGCTTGTATCGTAATGGTTTAATATGGACATGGAATACTAATGTATGGGCTTGGTTACATGGGTTGTGGATGTTGCATGGGTCGTGGTTGTATGGTGTATGAGAGCTAGTGTTGGAGTGGGAATGGGAGGAAGACTCCTATTAAGCTTACGTTACTTGGAGAGTAAGCTAGCTTGTGTATATATGTATGCGGATGGTGATCGAGGATGGTAAGGAAATACGATTGACTTGGAGAGTTTGGACTCTCCCGTGGACTAGTCCTGTATTCAGGGAAACCACGTTAAATTCGGTGTTTTGTTCTTTGCGTATTAGTTTGTTTACAGAAGTAGGGGTACATGGTTCCGCCCTGGTTGATATTTAATCATACTTGCCCTATATTGCTCCCGGTTAAGGTTTATACTTGGGTCTTAATTGATATTTTTATTGTGATAATTGGGACGAGTCATACACCCAAGTGAAAAGATAAACTACTCCATGCTAGGCAAGGAGGAAACACAAGGGAGAAGAAGGAAAACCATCTTGGAGATGCTAGCCTTACTCCTTGTGGTGTAGAGATCCTCCTTTGGGGAAGAAATTCCTAAAACATTGCTTGGAGTTGAAACCCTAACCTCTTATCTTCTTTGGTTCATCGATTTTCTCTCTCTAGAAAACTGAAGAAGAAGAAGAAGTTTCTCACACTAGGTCTCTCCTCTTTTTCCCTTCAGCTCAGGCTTCCTTTTATACCAAGGTCGCGGTCAGTTCACCGTCCCATTTCACGGCCGTGAACATCCTTCTTAGACTGTGATGTCAAGCAAATCTGCACTGTTTCACTTAGTCTGTTCACGGTCTGGGGCTTGAGTTCACGGTCTTGCGACCGTGAACTGACTAGGATCCAGTGAGGTGCGCATTTTGTTTATGGACTCTCGACGCTTCACGGTCTGGGGCTTTGGTTCGCGGTCAGTGAGGTGCACATTTTCTTCTGGAACTTCAGCGCTTCACGGTCTGGGCTTCCTTTTCATGGTCCATAAGACTGTGAAAACGCATCTCCCGCCGTGATCCTTGGCTGCTTTCACCCTTTGACTCGTTTTCGCTCCTTTTTGTCCCACTTTCGATTCGGGGCCAGTTTCAGCTGCTAGGATCTGAAACATATTAAAACAAAGTGCAACCTAGCTTAAAACCACACCTCATGGAGTTCAAATGCATCAAACGTCTAAGGAAAACGAGGATAAAATGTGTACAATTGGACCCAAATCATCATGCAACTATGGCCGTGGCCACAAATCTCCTTAGGGACAACAAAATCTCATAAAGCTTAAAAAAGAAACTTTGAAATACACCATAAACACGGGCAAAACACACCACAAATCTTTTAAAGCAAACCAAGAATATAAGAAAACAAACCACAAATATCATAAAAGCATACTACAAAGTCCGGTGACCGAATTTGGGCAGCCAAATTCCTTTGACTGGTGATTGAATTCCGTCAACCATATTTTGACAAGCTATCACCAGATTCCCGTTACTAAAATATGAATCTGTCATTCTGATTACTGGCGACCAACTCTCGACGTTCGGTCACCAGATTCTAACCATCAATCATCAAATTTCGACGAATGAAAACTGGATCCAAAAAATTAGAACAAAAGTATAATTTTAATTTTTAGTATATTTTCCTCCCATTAATGTTTATTTTCTTATTGATGAGTTAGACTCAACAATCAAAATAATTTATGTTTTCATAGCCGCACTGGATGTTGAACCGAAAAAATTAGTGGTCTATGGTTCAGTGGTGAATTATTACAGACCGGTTGGTTAACTGTTGATAGAACCGATCCTGATATTTAACATACATGACTTGTACAATACGCTAATTTAAGTACGAAGTTATCATTGACCATAAAATATTTCAAATACATATCATCACCAAAATATGTAACAAATCATTCAAGCCGTTTCATAAAAGAAATTATAGTTTTTTATTTCAAGTTAAAAATTATGGTGCCAGTTGTTATTGTACCACGTAAAGTCGACAAGGAGGTTGGAAAATGAGAAGATGAAGTATAAATATATTAATAATTCTAATTTGATGGTCTTAGTTTACGTTAAAGTATTTTTTTTAAAAACTTTTATGGTTAAAATAGTGAACCAGTGGACCAGTTAAACGATGGCGATTCATCTTATTTTTATGTTAAACCGTGAAAAACCGCTTGGTCCATCAATAATCCTCCAAAGAGTGAACCGGAACGCTATCATAACTGATTTGGCGGTTCTACTAGCCAATGTTGATCCGGTTCAATTCTTAATATCTACTATACTCAGATTTAAAATTCAAACTAATTAAAAATGATTAAGCTAAGTAAACCAAAATTCTACTAAAGTGGTTATAAAAAGGGACAGGTTACTATGACAACACCTCTTGTGTTGTTATAGTAACAACACTAGTCTTCCACCAATAGGAAGGTAGGGATGTAATGACTTTTTATTAGTTGAGTTGACCTAGTGTAAAATCAAAACAGGGGTATAATTGTCATTATGAAAATATGTTTAAATAATAATAAAAAATAAAAAAATAAAATTTTTTTTTTTATTTTCTGCCCAAAAATTTGGTAGCCGGAATTCTGCCACCGGGCGCCGGAAACTGGTCGTCGGTCACCAGAATATGCTTTTTCTCGCCGGAATATGCTATTTGTTGCCGGAATATGCTTACGCTGTCGGAATATGCTTACCGGCGTCGGAATCTAGTCATCGGGGCCGGAATATGCCTATTGGCGTCAGAATCTGCTCACTGACGGTCTCCGGAGTTCAATCAACGGTCAACGATCACCGGATGTTATGGTTAGCATTGTGAGATTTATGGTTTGGTTTCTCATATTTTTTATGCCTTTTGTGGTTTGCTTTATCGTGTTTGTGGTTTGCATTGAGAAGTTTCTGGTTTGCTTTCAAAAACTTTGTGGTTTGCATTGTGTGGTTTCTGGTTTGTTTTAATATATTTGTGGTCTGCATTAGGACGTTTATGGTTTGCTTTTTTGTGGTTTGATTTACTGTGTTTGTGATTTGCATTAGGAGGTTTCTGGTGTGCTTTCGCAAATGTTGTGGTTTGCTTTGTGAGGTTTGTGGTTTGTTTTAGGAGATTTGTGGTATGCATTAGGAGGTTTCTAGTTTGCATTAAGAAGTTTCTGGTGTGCTTTCGAAACTTTTGTGGTTTGCTTGGCGAGATTTCTGGTTTGTTTTAATATAGTTGTGGTCTGCATTAGGATGTTTTTGGTTTGCTTTACCGTGTTTGTGGTTTGCATTATGGGGTTTCTGGTGTGCTTTTCAAAATATTTATGGTTTGCTTTGTTGTCATATTATCACCTCCTTCTCTAAAATCTCTCCGACTCCCTCCCCCTCTCCCTCTCCCACCCTTCCTTCTTCATCAATAAACGAGAACAACAAAGCATAGTGGAAAAGCTAAAGAAAGAAAGTGAAATTAAAGGAACCATCCCTTCTTCTCTGCGTTCGGATTTCTACTTCTTCCAATTTTTTCTTTCTTTTTTTTGGTAAATAACTTCTTCCATTTTCTGATGGGTTGCCGGAGAAATATCGGAAGCCTCCAGCGTTAGGAGAGAGCGGATCTGAGAGCTGAAGGACAGCGGTGACAGAGGGGGATTGACACAAAAATCCTATGCATGCGAGGTTGAAGAAGGAGAATTGATGGAGCTGACCCACCTTACTTCTTCCCCATTGAAGATCCTGCAACCTATCCCGTCGAAAATCCGACGGTCAGTGGAACAGTTGGCTCTTGCTCCAGGCTGGACGACGACGATTGAGCTGATAACGATGATGATTCCGTATTCGTGTGTGTTGAATCGTTGTTTTTGTGGTTGTTCCCTGCCTTCCGATGCTCTGTTTTGCAGGTCACTGACGAACTAAGGATTGACGGTGGCGAATAGGAACGACAGGAGAACTAGCGACCTCGGCGGCGGAAGAAAGAAGGAACGACAGGGATTGAAGGACGCCTAAATCGTAGCCGCCAGATCGGAGTCGTAGCCGCGTTCCTGCCGACAGCGGAGGAGAGCGTACGGGAGATCGATAGAGAGAAGCTAGGACTTGTAAATGTATTTTTTAATTTGTTGTTAATTTCCGTTTTTACTCCTGTTGTTACTATAACAACACTATGGGTGTTGTTACTATATCCGGAGCCTTATAAAAATCCTTAGCATGTTACGCGCACTTCTTATTGTCTTCGTCGGGAGCGGATCGTGTCAGTAACTGATGGGTCAGTAACCCATCAGTAACCCATTCTCTGATCTCCACGTGTCAGTCCACTTTTTTATTTAAATTAAATGTAGAAGGGCAGTAAGGTAAAATGCACTCATCCCCTATTTATTGCTGACGCGCTGACTTTTGACCGACCACATCAGGACCTCCTTCTCTCTCATCGAAAAACCTTTAATTTTCCTTCTCTTAATCTTTAACGGACGATTTCTCACTCATTTTAAGTCGAAATTTAATTTTTTTTGCACAGTTAGATCAGATTAATTATGCTCTTCAAAATGATATCCACTTTGATATTTTTTTGACACAAATTTTTTTTCCAGTTATTACCAGTCTATACCATATGGTATAGTGTGGTAATATCAATATATATTTCGTTACCACCCAATACCATATGGTATAGTGTGGTAATATCAATATATATTTCGTTACCACCCAATATCATATGGTATAGTGTGGTAATATCAATATATATTTCGTCACCACCCAATACCATATGGTATAGTGTGGTAATATCAATATATATTTCGTTACCACCCAATACCATATGGTATAGAGTGGTAATATCAATATATATTTCGTTACCACCCAATACCATATGGTATAGTGTGGTAATATCAATATATATTTCGTTACCACCCAATACCATATGGTATAGTGTGGTAATATCAATATATATTTCGTTACCACCCAATACCATATGGTATAGTGTGGTAATATCAATATATATTTCGTTACCACACAATATCATATGGTATAATAGTATGGTAATATCACACAATACCATATGGTATAGAGTGGTAATATCAATATATATTTCGTTACCACGCAATACCATACATTACCATAGGGTATAGTGTGGTAATATCAATATATATTTCGTTACCACCCAATACCATATGGTATAGTGTGGTAATATCAATATATATTTCGTTACCACACAATATCATATGGTATAGTATGGTAATATCACACAATACCATATGGTATAGAGTGGTAATATCAATATATATTTCGTTACCACGCAATACCATACATTACTATAGGGTATAGTGTGATAATATCAATATATATTTCGTTACCACCCAATACCATATGGTATAAAGTCATAATATCAATATATATTATCTAAAAGGAAAAAAAAAACAGAATGAGGGAGAGAAAAAATCGTCTTCTGATGCCTCTCATTTCCTCTTCCTCAATCAAGAACACCAAAATGCCAAAAAAATGAGAAAGATCGGAATTGAGGCCAACGAGTTGATGAAGAGAAGAAATGCAAAGAAAGCGAGTGGCTACAATTTTTATTCGTCGATTGCTAGAGAAAAAAAATGAAGAAGGAAGATAGCAGATCTAAATTTGAAAAGAAGATTGTGAAAGAAAAAGTAAGAGAGAAGGAATAGAGAAAGAGAAAAGATCTGGAAAGAGATTGAAAGAAAAGAAGAGAGAAGGAATAAAGTTGAGTTGCAGAGAAAATACATTCTCTCTTTCATTGAAAAGTCAGCCATTGAAATGCGGAATGAATAAAAAAAATTAAAAATACAAAAACGGACAAAAATGCCCCTTTCCACTCCACATCCTGCCAGCCGTAGGATTGCTCCATTCCCAATCCTACGGCTCCCGTATGGTTACTGATGGTTACTGACCCTATCTTGGACCGTCTTCGTCGGTCTCCTGTCCTCAGTGTTCGCTGTCTAAATTATAAACCCTAGTCCTCCCAATTTAAATCCTAACCTAGGCCCATTCCGTTCCTCTTGAACACCTAGCCTGCCTTTGTTTTCTCAATCCTCCGAGATGACTAAGGTCTACGGCACCGGTGCTTACGATTTCAAGCGCCACCGCGTGGCTGAATACCCGGTTGATTTGCCCAACCAGCTGGCCGACAAGCCGGTAGAGTCTACACCCGGTGGGTCCCTGCCCAGTTCCATTACTCTCTCCGAGATACAGAGGGACCGGCTGACTACGATTGCCACCGCGAACTGGCTCAAGTCCGATGACGGTAACTCGGAGAATAGAGGCTTTGATGCCGAGCTGGTGAAGAAGATATATGAAACGGAGTTGAAGGTTAGTGAAGGGAGGAAGCCGGTGCCCTTGCAGAGAGTCATGATTCTGGAGGTCAGTCAGTATTTGGAGAACTACCTCTGGCCGAATTTTGATCCTGCAACGGCGACTTTTGAGCACGTTATGTCCATGATTCTCATGGTCAATGAGAAGGTAAGTTTTATGATATCTATTACTTCTCCAGCAGGGGTCAGTCATATCAGTATATATCAGTTGCTTTTTTAATCTAGAAGTCTTAGTTGAGGAATAGTGAACAAATTTTGGTAAAGCGACTTTAGAAGTTTTTCAATTGAGGTTAAAGAAGCTTGATGGTTGAGTCCTGGGTCTGACAATTGATAGGTGAAACTTGAAGTGGTGACTTCTAAATTACTTGCTAGCTTAAATGCTCAATGTTTTTTTGGACTTTTGAACAGGCTATCCGAGGGAATTTACTATTTAGCCTTCATCTGTTCTTGCTTATCGTGTCTGCTTGTGGGACTGTTGTGATGTCTCCCGTAGGAGCTTGGCCAAATGAAGGAAAGACTGGCAATCCTTTTTGTCATCAGAACCCCTGTTATCTGTAAAGAAAGAATAAGAAATATTCTGGGTAGTCAATTAAGTTATCCAAGTAATACAGCATGGAAGTTGTCTCCAGTGAATTTGGGTTTTAACTGTAGGATTCATGTAATAAATAGTTCACAGCTAGTTCCTGGATCTGCTGATGTTGAAAATTCCATTTTTGGCTTCTTTGCTCTTCCCTCTTTCCGTGTTATAGGCAATCTGAGGAATAATCTTTCTGAAGATAAGGAATTACGAATTAATGGCCTATTTCGGACAGTACAGAGACTTTTATTTTGATTGTATTGGTACTCCAAGCACAAACGAATATAATGCACGTTTATGTCTGTATTGCAGTTCCGTGAGAATGTGGCAGGTTGGAGATGCTTCTATGACCGCAAAGAAGCATTTAAGGGATTTCTTGAGAGGGTTCTACGGTTGAAGGAGGTTTGTGTTCTTACTACCATTAGTTTAGGAAGTCCCAGCCCTTAATAAACACTAGTATTAGCATCTAGATTTGTACGGCTGACTGTAATTTGTGGTGTTCAAGTTGATTTGAAATTGTTTATTTACATATACTATTACCCAATCTTGACTAAATGGTAGGATGTATATTCTGATATTGGATTTAGACATCTGCAGTATGCTAACTTCTTCAGTTTATGTTTCTGAGCTATATCTTAGTAAAATGAGTTTGTATCCATTCTCTGGGTCAGGTAATGTCATATACAACTCTCTTTACCGAGTAACTCAAACCTTTTCTTCTCTTCCAAATCTCTTTTGTCTTGTCAGTCTAACTTTCCTGTCTTTACATTGTTGCTGTAGGGTAAAGATATGAGCATTGCGGAGAAGACAAATTATCTAGTTTTTATGATTAATGCCTTCCAGGTATGGTCGCTTCTAAATTCATGTTTTGTGTATATGTAGTGAGTTGATAAACTTTCCAGGCCTGCTACTGGACTATAGCATTACGATAGTTTTTCTTTTGAACGAGGTCTGAGGATCGGGCTTTAAATAGATTATTATTATTATTCTGTACTTTTAGTTTGAAAAATCATGCAACTGTGTAACCTATAACCTGGGTCAATAGAGTTCTCTCAGAGTATTTTGAATATCTTCCTGCCGTGAGGGATTCTCTGTACTGGTTAAGGGTGGGTTTTTTTGTGACTCCATCCGCTCTGTTTTTGGATCTGGTATCTCAAAATCTGAAAATTTAATCTTGCAGAGTTTGGAAGATGATGTTGTTAGGGAAATAGTTCTAAAATTAGCACATTTGAAGTCATGGCACAGTTTGTCATACGGAAGATTTCAGGTATTATTTACAAGCTGTTTTGTTTGTCTTTTAGCCTTTTGCTTGATATTCTTATATCTTCTGCTGTATGGCAATGGTTCTCTCTTTTGTAGATGGAGCTCAGCATTAACCCTGCTTTGGTGAAGAAATGGAAGAAGATGATAAAGGGGGATGCTAAGGAGGCAAAAGCTCAAGGGGAGACTTTTAACCCTTCAAATTCAGTCGAGGCCAAGTTCTTGAGAGATCTTATCGAAGAGTTTCTTGATGTAAACCTTTCCCTTGGCTGTCTTACCAGTTTTTATTTGTATCCTGATGAAGCAATGATTTTTTCTAAACTCCCCATTCTGTTTTCAGGTGCTTGATTTCAAGGGTTTTCCAGCAAAGAATACTGTTACTGAAGATGACGTACTTCATATTGCGCATCAACAGGTTGACGATGCAGTGGTTTTGTATAGTGAGAGGTTTATGGAATTTCTTATCGACTTATTAAGCCAGCTGCCGACTAGGAGGTATGTTCTCTTTGTTTTTAGTTATAAATTTCGGTTGATTTTAACCATGTATTAAATACGGGGACTCTTAATTCGTGATGCTTTAGTTTTGGATTTACATCATTCTTATTGTATTTCTCTTACCACAGGTATCTGAGGCCTCTAGTTGCTGATGTTGCTATTGTCCCAAAATGCCATTTGAGTCCTCTATACAGGCATGAAAAGGGGAAGCTCTTTGCTCAATTGGTTGACTTACTGCAGTTCTATGAGAGATTTGAGATTAATGATCATCTTGGGACACAATTAACTGATGATGAAGTTCTTCAAGCTCACTATGATCGGTTCTTTGCTTTTCAGCTTCTTGTTTCTAAACAGATACCCAAGGTTTGCCATATCTAGTGCTTATTAGAAATTTTGCTGCTTCTGTTAGTAGTGGATACTGCAAAAAATTCTTTGATTCAAACCTCAAGTGTTTGTTGCAGTTACGAGAACTTGCATTATGCAACATTGGTTCAGTTCACAAGCGGGCTGATCTCTGCAAGAAGTTGTCTGTCCTTTCTTCTGAAGAGTTGAAGAACTTGGTTTGCTGCAAGGTATATGAATATTCTGTGTTTTATAGTATCTTGCTTGATATACTGAAATTGTTGCTTCAAATTTGTGTAGTTACCAATTTACCATCATTAGTCTTTCTGTTCAAACTTTTATAATTCAAGCTACCTCATTGTTTTCATGTATATAACTCCTTGAAAGTTTAACTGTTAGTTTACTAAGTAGAGGCTTCTCTCACGTTTCTTTTAGCTCAGTTTTCATTGGACATCAAATTTACTTGTGATTTCCAGGGTCGGTCATTTTAGCTTCGGGGACATTTCGCTATAGAAAAATTGGGTTTTGACTTTTGGGTGCAAGTTGACTCTATCATACTAGACAGGCATACTACTTGAGTTCTCCAAGAATCTTACTCGAGAAATATATGTAGTTCGAATGACTTGGGCATAAATATGTTCAAAACATGGCTTTCCCTGTACTACTCATAATCTATTGGGTTCGTAATACTGAACTGTTGCTTCATACTACTTTTTGTTTCTCTTTAATTAGCTCAAACTTGTATCTGAAGAAGATCCCTGGTCCGGAAGCTATGACTTCCTTATTGAAGTTATGGTCTCCTTCTTTGAGAAACAGCAGTCTCAAAAGGAATCTATAAATGCTCTACCTCTCTACCCGAACGAGCAGATTATGTGGGATGAGAGTGTTGTGCCAAGCATTAACTACTCCGGAGAGGGTTGTCTCGCGCTTCCGAAGCTTAATCTACAGTTCTTGACACTGCATGATTATCTTCTCAGAAATTTTAATCTGTTTCGCCTTGAATCAACATATGAGATTCGTGAAGATATTCAGGAAGCTGTACCCCACCTTCTTCCATATATTAACAACGAGGGAGACACTGCTTTCCGTGGTTGGTCAAGAATGGCTGTTCCAGTAAGAGGATTCAGGATCAGTGCTGTCAAACAGCCTAACATTGGTGAAGTTAAGCCATCTTCTGTGACAGCACAAGTGACGTACAGCATTTCCAGCTATAGATCCCAGGTTCGATCAGAGTGGGATTCCCTTAAGGAGCATGATGTTTTGTTTTTGCTTTCTATTCGGCCCTCATTTGAACCTCTGAGTGCTGAAGAGGCTGAAAAGGCTAGTGTTCCGCAGAGGCTTGGCCTCCATTTTGTACGAGGATGTGAAGTTATCGAGATTCGTGATGAAGAGGGAAAGCTTATGAATGATTTTACTGGAAGGATTAAGCGAGATGAGTGGAAACCCCCAAAAGGGGAACTAAGAACAGTAACTGTTGCTTTAGACACTGCCCAGTACTACATGGATGTGTCGGACACTGCAGAAAAAGGTGCAGAAGATGTCTATGGGACTTTCAATGTGTTGATGAGGAGAAAACCCAAGGAAAATAACTTCAAAGCAATTTTAGAATCTATAAGAGATCTTATGAATGAATACTGTATTGTACCTGAGTGGCTGCATAAGATATTTCTGGGCTATGGAAATCCATCTGCTGCACAATGGACCAACATGCCCGACCTTCTTGAAAAAGTAGATTTCAAGGACACCTTTATAGATGCAGAGCACTTGAAGGAGAGTTTTCAAGATTACCAGGTCTGTGAGCCACCTCTTTTTATTGTCATACTTGCACTTGTTACCTATTACAGTCAAAATACTAAGCAGTGGTGCTCCTCAATGTCTTAAATTCTCTGCAAGCTACATTTGTATTTACACACTTGGGTTTAGTTTCTGGGACTTAGGTCCTTGGGTGACAGTTCTGTTGTTTGTTGGTACCCAGGCTAAGCAGTCACAAGATGCATTAATTCTACCAACTTACTTGTCCAGTTATTTTATGCACATTTACTCTTCTGGATTGTTGAAAACCTCATGGTGTCACCAGCAAGGTTGGGCTAGGAGTGCCATGTTCTTAGTTTATCCAGATGATGGTGTTGTGAAATGCTATTTGCAAGTATGGGTTTTGAAATGAAACTATTTTGCTGATTCATAACATCTGCAGAAATGTGTACCATGCTGTTTAAAGTTACAGCTGTGTTTTTTATGTACACCTGTTGATGGCCAGATCATGTTTGAAGCTTAGGCAAGAATTCCTTTACGTAGTTTGAATATAATTTTTGATTTCCTGCCATTCAAGCTGATCTAGTGTGATTGAAATCCCCTGCAGTTTCCTTTCTGAACTAGAGCAATACTTGCTCCCCCTTTTTGCAGGTGTGTTTTGTTAATCAGGATGGTGTAGAGAGTCTGGATCCAAGACCTCCTTTTCGAATTACTATTCCCAGAACTCTGAAGTGCAATCCCAATGCACTTCCAGATAAGAGGAAGGCTACTACTGATTCAGTGGATGATGTCAATATGGCGGATCAAGCACATGAGAAAGAGAGACTTACTGTTGAGGCATACATTCCAACTGATCCGGGGCCTTACCCCCAAGATCAGCCAAAGCAGAACTCTGTTAGATTCACACCCACACAGGTTCCTAATGACCCAGCCTATTTTCAATATCATTGCGATTAAAGTTTTTATCGCTTCTTTTAGTGTTTAATTTTTATTCTCTTTCTAGACGTTGAAGCTTTCACCTTTACTTTTATTCCCCTATTGACTAGTTTTGGTTTTCTGCAGGTTGAAGCAATTATTTCTGGCGTCCAGCCAGGTCTCACTATGGTTGTAGGGCCACCTGGTACTGGGAAAACTGATACAGCTGTTCAAATCTTAAATATACTCTACCACAATTGTCCCTTGCAGAGGACATTGATAATCACTCATTCAAATCAGGCTCTCAATGACCTCTTTGAGAAGATAATGCAGGTGTGAATCTTCAAAGGCTTGAGGTTAAAAAGTCCCATGTCATTTTGTGCATTATTTTTGTAGTACCTGTCTATATGCTACGATTTGGATTGTAGTCCATTGTGGTTGCCAACTTATGTTTGACATTTGGCTGCTGTTACAGAGAGATGTCCCCGCCCGGTATCTTCTTCGCTTGGGCCAGGGAGAGCAAGAGCTAGCAACTGATCTTGATTTCAGCAGGCAAGGTCGTGTAAATGCAATGCTTGTTAGACGGTTAGAGCTGCTTAGTGAGGTGGAAAGGCTTGCAAGGTCTCTTCAAGTTCCCGAGGATGTAGGCTATACTTGTGAGACTGCAGGATATTTTTGGTTGCTTCATGTGTATTCTCGCTGGGAGCAATTCATTGTTGCTTGTAAAGATAATAAAGATAAACCGACTTTTGTCCAGGACAGATTTCCCTTCAAGGAGTTCTTTTCAAACACTCCTCAGCCATTGTTTACAGGTCAGTCATTTGAGAGGGACATGCGGGCAGCTATGGGGTGTTTCCGTCATCTTAAGACTATGTTCCTAGAACTAGAGGAGTGTAGGGCATTTGAGTTGCTGAAGTCAACAGCTGACAGAGCGAATTATCTTATGACCAAGCAAGCGAAAATAGTAGCCATGACTTGCACTCATGCAGCCTTGAAGCGAAGGGACTTCCTTCAGCTGGGTTTCAAGTATGACAACTTGCTGATGGAAGAAAGTGCCCAGATTTTGGAGATCGAAACGTTCATTCCGATGCTACTTCAGAGGCAGGAGGATGGTTATGCAAGGCTCAAGCGTTGCATTCTCATTGGCGATCACCACCAGTTACCTCCTGTTGTGAAGAATATGGCTTTTCAGAAGTACAGTCACATGGACCAGAGCTTGTTCACAAGGTTCGTTCGACTGGGAATCCCTTATATTGAGCTCAATGCACAAGGTAGAGCCCGGCCAAGCATAGCCCAGCTTTACAATTGGAGGTACAGGGAATTAGGAGACCTTCCTTATCTAAGGGATGATCCGATATTCCGTAGGGCGAATTCGGGATTCTCGTATGACTATCAGTTGGTTCATGTTCCCGATTATCATGGAAAGGGTGAGAGTGCACCATCTCCTTGGTTCTACCAGAATGAAGGAGAGGCTGAATATGTTGTCAGTGTCTACATCTACATGCGTTTGCTAGGGTATCCTGCTAACAAAATTTCCATCTTAACAACTTACAATGGTCAGAAGCTTCTGATACGGGATGTTATCAACAGACGATGTGTTCCATATGATTTCATAGGTCCACCCAATAAGGTAAGCTTGTACAACAGAAGATGGGTTCCAAATCATTCCAAAATTAGTTTTCAGTAATAGAAGTTAGAAGTGGGAAGGAAGTATTTGATTGAGAAGTTGCCGTGTGCTAGTGATGCTTGGAGTTACTATATACAGACATCAATAATCTTTTGTTACTTTGTATACAGGTGGCAACAGTTGATAAATTCCAGGGGCAGCAAAATGATTTTATCTTGCTCTCGCTTGTCCGAACTCGCTTTGTGGGTCACCTGCGTGATGTTAGAAGATTGGTTGTTGCAATGTCTCGTGCTCGACTGGGGCTCTATGTGTTCTGCCGTCGATCACTTTTTGAACAGTGCTACGAACTGCAGCCTACATTTCAACTCCTACTAAAACGGCCTGACAACCTTGCCTTGAATTTGCACGAGACCTCACCTTACACTGAACGTCCTGCTGAAAACAGTGGACAGTGTTACCTTGTCAATGGTGTGGAGGAGATGGCCCAAATTGTTGCTGACAAAATCAATCAATTGCATCAGGTATTGTGACGTGTTCCCTCCTGGTGTGAAGTTTCATTTGTTCATCTCGGTAACTTTGGGATGTTACTGTTTAGCTTTTGCTACACAGAAGTGACTTCTTTAAAGGTTTTAGTCGAAGCGAAGAATAAATGTCTTTCTTTTCCAGGTGTTTAATAATTGAAGATGTGTGTTTTTAGCTTTTAAGTCAACTACTTAGCCAGTCTCTTATTTGTCAGCTAACACAAACACAAAATGGTGTTCGTGTCTCTAACTTTTGCTTTATCAGGCAAGGATAATGAGCTACCAGTTTCAGCAGTCTATGGCTTACTCGTCCACTGTACCATCCCTTGAGAATGATGCAGCTGAAGGTGTGCCTGATGGAGACATTCCACAGGAAGCTGATGCCACGATGAGTGAGCAAAATGGGGACCTCCCTAAAGATGGTCAATCAGAAGTGGAGAATGGTGTGCTTCCTGGAACCTTGTTGGCGAAATCCCCTACAGAAGTGAATGTCATTGCTGGCGATCAAAGTGGGAATCAAGCAAGTACGATTCAATCTGATGTGGAAGCAGAAGATTCGAACAATGACCAAACAAGAATGGAGGAGTAATCCTGGGGTTAGAATACTCAGTTTGATTGAACTCCGATTTTCCCCGTTAGCAACGGGTGATTGTAGTTCTTTTGTCCAACTTTCCATTACAACGATGGTCGTGATTTCATGTAATTGTGCACTTTGAGTATTCTGCATTGGTGAAGAAGGTACGTGCATCCATATCTGTGAAAGGATGAGGCTGGAAGTGAGTTTTTGTAGCGATTTCGATCCACTAATTGGTTAACGAGAGGATGAATAGCGTTTTAGATCCACTAAAGTTGCAGCGAAGCAGCATGTAATTTCACAATTGTATTACTCTGCATCTGATGGATAAGCTGAGCAGTTCTGTTGGACTCCTTGAATGTCCTCGTATCTTGTTAATCTATCACTGTTGCTTCTTTTTTTTTTAATCTCAAAACCGCATTATTTATTTATTTGTATACAGCAAGCCTTTCATTTTCAGGTGCTAGCAGCTGTTGTTGGTTTGATTGAAGCACAAAATGCATGCATTCGTATAATCTATACATTCTTTCATGTTTTTTTCAAACAATGAATTTTTAAAAATCACATTCTTACTACACGCATAATTTGAATACATTCTTGTAAGGCTCGATTTCCGGAATGAAAGGTTGCAAATGACTCCTAAGTTTTGTTTTCTAAAAAAAAAAAAAGTTTCTTTTTATGAGCTTGCTCGAATACCCCTTTTTTTGTATTGTTCTTTTATTGCTTGGAAACTACATACGTTAAACTTTCCTGCTCTTTTACCAAAAAAAAAAAAAAAAACGTTCCTACTCTGTGCATGTTATGGACGCTGCCTATACAATCAACCCCTCTGGTAGTTCAGCAACCAGACTTGGCAAATGGCAACCTACACACAACAATGGAATAACCGATGCAATGATGCTTCCATCTCAGCTTTGGCAGCTGATCTGGAAGAAACTGATCTCGATATGTGGGATGTGACAAATTTTAGGCCAATCTTCTCCAGTATAGGGCTGGCACCTGTGCTCCAACAAAGGACACAGGAACACAGACAGTGAAGAGAGGGAGGATGGAAGGCCTTCGTCCGGTAATGAGCGGAGCTTAGGACAGTTGCATATCTCCAGTTCCCTAAGGCCTGTAAGGTGTCGAAGCCCCGTAAAGTCCAGAGATGTTAGATTCTGGAAGTCACCAATTTTAAGTGATGTAAGAGTTGAAGGAAGCAGCTTTTCCCCAGGAAAGGATGCAAGGTTTGAACATCCAAGCAACATAAATCGTGAGAGGTTTGGGGCGGGTAATCTTCTATTCAAGAAAGACCCTAAACCAGGGCAGTCCATGATCTCCAGGGAACTGAGATTTTTCAAGTAATCATCGTTTGCTTCTGGAGGAAAAAGGCGCTGCAGCCTTGGACAGCTGCTGAATCGAAGAGTCTTCAATTCAGGGAACATCTCTACTGGAAAAATCTTGACTTCACAGCAGTTCTTGATCTCAATCTCCTGTAAACTGGAAGTAAGGCCACACATTTGCTCCATGTCTTGTAGCAAGGAGTCTATGCAATTAAACCCTTCAATGATGAGATGGTACAGCCCAAAAGAACATGGTTTCACAAACCTCATCAGTCGATTACTGTCTTTCAGATGAAGTCTAAGGATATCTGGGGACCTTGGCAATGAAGCCACTAGCTGGGGACATCCTTCAATCTTGAGTGTTGTTAATGAAGGTAGATGACCCGGTAGGGCCCCTGTCAATGCTGGACATTCCCGTATGTGTAGCTCCTGAAGAAGGGGGAAAGCAGCTCCACATTCATCATATCTGCCTGTGTTATAAGCACTCCATTCCTGCCACTTAGGCATCAGTTCGAATGTCAAAGATTTCAGTGATGCAAATGGTGGCTTCTTGGTCAAGCAATTTCCATAAACATCTGGACCGACAACCACTAGTTGGTCGAATCCTGTTATCCATAGGTCTTCTAGAGATACCAACTGCCCAAGTGGCGGCAATGATGAGCACTGCCAACATCCAGTTAGCTTCAAGGATACCATATTAGAATAATAAAAGTCTCCCACCCAGGCGGGAAATCTTGAACCTCCATAACCATCAATCGAAAGAGATTCGATGTTCCTATGGGGTTGTAATTGCTCAAGCACCTCCATATGGGACATAAAATCACCATCGCCATTGTCCCATTCCAACTTCAGCTTCTTAATATTTTTCTTGCCCTTCAAATTGGCCTGGAGAGCATCTCTTGGAATAGTAACATTTTGCAGACTGCATATACGAAGCTGCTCCTGTAGATGCTGAAGTTCTCCCAACTCTTTGATGCTACAATCACCTTGTATTCCCACAACAAAATCACTCAGTCTTAGGAGCTTCCGGAGCTGACCAATTTGAGGCGGCATGTTCTTCAAGTTTGTTCCTCTGATATCAAGATGAAGAAGATTGATTAATCTTCCCATGTTTGTTGGAAGCACGACAAGTTCTTTGCACTCAAACAATATCAACGTCTGCAAATTATATAATTTACAAATAGTTGCAGGTAGCCTTCTAATTGATGATCCTGACAGATTCATATATCTCAAATGCTTCAACTTGCTTAACGACTTGGGCAGTTCCGACAATCCACGATAGTAACAGAGAGAAAGCACCCTTAGGCGCCTAAATTTTTGCAATAAACCACGCATTACATCTTCGTCAAGCTGCGACCACTCAACAAGTAAGAAAGTTCGCAACAGTTGGGCACCCTGGAAGCTTTCAAGCTTCTTGGAGACATCATGCTCTACACTTGTGTATGACAGATGACGAGTCCTCTTACCAATCTCTCGGGAATCATCTCCTTCCAACCTAAACCAAAATTCTCCGGCAACAAATTTAGCCAAGTCATTTACTAGATCATGCATAATGAAGCATGATGGATAGACACTTGATCTCTGGAAGAATGATCTAGCCACAAGATCATGAAAATACTCGCCACCCACTTCTTCCATTGTCTTACATTCTTTCCCCAAGACCAAAAAATCCTCTGCCATCCACAGAAGAACCAGTTCTTCCTTCTCGAACACATAATCCTTGGGGAATAGAGCACAATAAGCAAAACACTGCTTTAGATGTGAAGGCAGATAATGGTAGCTCAATCTTAGAGCTGGTAGAATGTCCTCGTTTGACAGATCCCACATGTCACTCTTCAGTACCCTCTCCCATTCCGCAACATCCGTTTTGGCCCTGAGGAGACCGGCTAGTGTCTTGGCAGCCAAAGGCAAGCCTCTGCACTTCCTTACCATTTCCCTACCAATGAGCTCCAACTCAATATGCCTCCCAGATTTACCTTCCTCGAAAACATGTTTCAAGAACAAACACCAGCAATCATCATCGCTCAACTCCCTCAGATGATAAGCCACGACAGTCCCCATTACAGATGCAACAGTTTCATGCCGGGTTGTGACCACAACCTTACTCCCTTCTTTGCCAGACTTCAAAGGTCTCAGCAAAATATCCCAATGAGCATACTTGTCATTCCAAACATCATCCAAGACGAGCAAAAACTTCTTCCCATTCAACTTCTCCTTGAGCATCACCTGAAGTTGATTCAGAGTTGTGGAGAAGCATTTCCTCCCCGTCACCTCCTCCAGAATATCTTTTGTCACCTCCGAGACATCGGCTTCCTTGGATACACAAACCCACGCCATGAGATCAAACCTCTCCCGAACCACATTATCATTGTAAACAATCTGAGCAAGAGTTGTTTTGCCAACCCCACCCATGCCAACAATTGGAATCACACCCACAGCATTGTGGCTTCCATAATCCGATAATAGCATACCCATTATGGCTCTCTTATCACCATCCCTACCATAAACACCAGATTCATCGACCAGGGAAGTGCTGGGAAGCCTCTGCAACGAAGGGTTCTCTCCGATTCCATGCCTCAACCCCAGGGCATCCTTCTGTTTCACTAAATACTCGATTCTCCGCAGGACGTCCTCCAGTTTCCATTTCATCCCTCTTTTCAATGGATTCAGAGAGGAGAAGAGATAGGTCGCTTGACGTATGCTGTTCTGACTTGGGGACTCCAATCTGGCCCTCAAAGCTCTGTAGGAAATTTCATCGAACAGGTCGTCGGCTTCAAAGACAGCATCTTTAAGCTCGTCGAGCCACATCTTTACAGCCGGCTTCGAGACCTGCTTCTCCTCTGCATCATCGAGAACAGCATTGACAGAGTTCATCAAGGAGTTAAGCTTCTTCAACAGTGCGATTGTGAGCCTTCTCCCCTGGACGGAGTCCACAACTTCACTCGAAGCCATTCTGTCGAACAGGACTTGGAAGAGAGCAGCGAGAACTGATCCTCCCAGTGCTTCCATGACTTTTTTTTTTTTTGTCTTGGAAGCTGTTAATGGAGGAGAAAGGGTGACGGAAAGGAGATGGAAATGGCAGAGAAAATCGAACCAGAACTTCCCAGGAGATTGTTTGAATTCTCAGAAAATGCAGAGGCAGGGTAGAAGGAGACGGGAATTGGTTTTCTGGAGTCATTAACAAAGATTTCCTTTTCGTCTCATTCGTTCCATTCCTCCTCGTAATGCGCACTCCATACACAAACAGCCAAGCCAACAGACGTAAAAACTGAAAAGCCAACCAAACTTCCGCACTTCTTCTGTAGTATATACTTGTCCGCCCGTTGTGCCGGTGTACAATGCAAATTGGGAGGGAGGAAGAAGATACAGCACATTCACAAATATAAAATTATGCTATCCACAATCCGTCCCGCAGTTAAGCACTACCCGTTGCAGTTTGGTGCGAGTTTGTTGTGGATACCCACAAAAATTTTACATTAAAAATACTAGTATGGTAATTAAATAGTGAGGTTGTGTTTCTTCTCACACAAAAACAAAAACATACATAAAAAAGGTTAATTAAGTGTAAAATAAATTATAAATTTCGAATACAATAGGTTAGTGTAAATTCAAAAGAGATGGATTTGGAAAGAGATTTAAAGATAATGAAGAGGCGAAGTGATATGTTACCCGACTAACATCGTTGAATGTCAC